TTTTTTCTAAATTGACTCCTGACATTGATGTAAGCGTACAGAGCTTCTGGATGAAAATTTTCCACAACCTCCAGGTAAAACCTATCTATTGCTTCTCCACAGCGTGTCCCTTATATAGAAACATTTCCATTTAGGAAATGGAATAATTTAGCTTTTAGTACAGGTTTCCTCTTGGCTGACTGAAGATATAAGAATTTACTCTTGAATAACAGTCTGAGTATAAAAAAAAAATCTAAGGGCAAACACGCTACTTATAGAAATATATAAAGAGAACTGCAAAGAAGCATCTGCTGCACATTAGAAAACATTAAATTAAAAGAGGTTAAATACAGAATATCTAGTGCTACATGCACTAGAAAGAAAAATCAAAGATGCACGAAAGATAAATAAATGGAACTGCTGTAGGGTAGTGTGAAAAAAAATCACAGCAACCACATGTCGCTGATTTTTTAAGACAGTCCTAATTTCAAATATTTGTTCCTGTTGTGAAACTATGTGTCTTGACTTTTCTTTAGAGAAACGTGTTGCTGGAGTTTTTGAAACTATGGTGTTCCAGTAGTTTGTAGGAACAAAACGATGCCTGAAGATAACAAAACAAACACCACCACCATTTGACTTCCTCTCATCTCATGGTCTCTGCACCCTATCACTAGTCTTTTATTTTCTGAGACCCTAATGCTACCATTTCACATCTGTGGGAGTATTAGTTTCACTAATGCCTGCCTCTCAAGTCTTGCTACTTTTATCTCACTGCTAAAGCCATGCCCCAGATCTTCCAATCATAATCTCTCCTCTTAGCGTCTCTCTCCTCACCTTCACGGAGACCTGCTTATCATCCAAAGAAATGCATTTCCAGCAGCAGCTATGGATCTGTATTTTTTTCTTGTACTCCCTACCCCGCAGTCCTCAGGAAAGTGAGCGCAGGGTCCTCCTTGCTCTCTGTGTATCCCCTTCTCTGGTGTTATCCAGAATTACTGTATTTAAAAAATGTCTACTTTTTCCATAGTTTCGTCCTTGCTAGCGGGAAAATTTGCCACCAGGTAAGCTGTCTCTCTGGAGGAAAGCAGAGTCTAGTGGCAGGAAAATACAATAAAAACAGCCCAAGAATCTAAAGAACTATCGCAGAGGGAGCAGTTAAATAGCCTGAGAGAACTCTGTGGTCAGAATGGAATTCTTTTTTTTTTTTTTTTTAAGATTATTTTGAGAAAGAGAGAATGTACGTGTCTGTACGTGAGTGGGGGAGGGGCAGAGAGAGAGACGGGGAGAGAATACCAAGCAGGGTCCACGCTCAGCACCGAGTCTGATGCAGGGCTATTAGAGCATGACCTGAGGCAAAATCAAGAGTTGGACGCTTAACTGACTGAGCCACCCAGGTGCCCCAGAAGGGAATCTTTTAATGAATGATTTGGGAGGTAGGGGAGTATCAGAAGACAGGAAAGTCATATAAAGTGAGAGAGGTCACTGGAGATAAGGGGGTTAATGTTGGATGAGGGGTTACTTTAGGTGATAAGAAGAAAAAAATAAGAATGGATAGAAGTACAGGAAGATCTATAGATATGTAGATAAGATTTGGAAACAACTGATGTCTAATTGCTCCTACTTACTTTTTTCAAGGAGGAGGCATCTAACAGAAAAGAAGTTTGAAGGTATGAAGAGGGAGTACAATATAAGACTTGAAATAATCACTGCAAACAATGTTCTAATGATTGATCAGGGAAACAGTATTATGGAATGCCCAGAACACAGCTGAGATAAGTGACATGTGTTTTAATATGTTCATCTGATTACTTCTTTGGAGTCAGTAGTTCTACACTTTAGAATAGCATCCAAATTACCCAGAAGGCTTGTGAAACACAGACTGCTGGGCCCCGCTATTCTTTTTTTTTTTTTTTTTTTTCAATATATGAAGTTTATGGTCAAATTGGTTTCCATACAACACCCAGTGCTCATCCCAAAAGGTGCCTTCATCAATACCCATCACCCACTCTCCCCTCCCTCCCACCCCCCATCAACCCTCAGTTTGTTCTCAGTTTTGAAGAGTCTCTTATGCTTTCACTCTCTCCCACTCTAACCTCTTTTTTTTTTTCCTTCCTCCCCATGTTTATAAGTTCTCAGGATCCATGAGGCAAACCATATGGTATCTGTCTTTCTCTGTATGTATCATTAGCATCCACCTCCAGTTCCATCCATGTTGCTACAAGGGGCCATATTTCTTCTTTCTTCATTTTGTACTCCATTGTGTATATAAACCAATATTCTTTATCCATTCATGTTGATGGACATTTTTAGGCTCTTCCATATTTGGTATTGTTGAGAGTGCTTGCTCAAACATTGTGGGACAAGTGCCCCTATGCATAGTATTCCTGTATCCTTGGGTAAATTTCTAGAATATTGTTGGAGTCATAGGGTAGGTCTATTTTAATTTTTTGAGGAACTCTCCATCTGTTTTCCAGAGCGGCCAAAGTGCGTGCGTGCGCACCACCTGTATCTCACCAACAGTGCAAGAGGGTTCCCGTTTCTCCACATCCTCTCCAGCATCTATAGTCTCCTGATTTGTTCATTTTTGGGTCCCGCTATTCCAGGGTCTGACAAGCAAGTCTGTAAATGGGCCCAAGAATGTGCATTTCCCAGGTGCTGTTGCTGCCATTGGTTTTGAGAGCATACTTTTGAGAGCCACTGCTCTTTCTCCATCTAATGATTAGGTAGAATCAAAACCCCTGAATTTGGTACATCTCTATATATCTATATATACCTTTAGGAGATATATCTATATCATCTATATCTATATCTATATCATCTATATCTATATCTATTATTTATAATCTATCTATGTATATCTATATATGCCTTTAGGAGATATTTATACATATCTCTCTCCTGAAGGCAATCTAGATTGACTTTATGGATTCATCATCACATCATATTCCTGGTTCTCCAAATTCATATAACAGGTTTTCAAGACTCACAATAAACTTACATATCCAGTATTAGTCACAATGTATTCCAACATAATCTTCTTTTCTAGTTGGGCACTTCCTTCATGTTTCATACAATTTCCATCCACCTTCACCACTATTCCTATCAAAGGGAATGTTCTCTGCACCACTTTACAATAACCTAAATATTACTCATGGCTCAAAGAACTTCTCTTTTATAAAAATTCCTGGGTTCTGGTCCAGACTGTTGTCCTCCTTTGTTGAACTACTATTGTAACAAGAGTCTTCACCACATAATTTTGTTTTTAATAACTTTTAACAATTTCCATTTATTTATACAAACTAATAGTAAGCTATTTGGTGAGAGGAATAAGGGTTTTATTCATTTTATGTCTCCTGCAAAACGTTCAACACAGTATCAGAGAAATTATAGATACCCAGTGGGTCTTATTTATTGTATGAAAATTTACTTATATATAACAAAGTTTATGGAAAATAAATTACAGATTGCTGTCAGCTATATATTCTTATTCACTCTATATAGACATCAAATATCATAAATATGATTTTCTTTAAAGTGTAAAAGAAATTTTTAAAAGGCCTTGAATACATGTCAAAACCAAGATGTACAAAATACAAAAAAAGGCTAGGTAAATAGGCCATGCTTTCTGCTTGTTTATTCCCTACAATGATGTATTTTGAGTATTATAAAACAGAAAAGAAATATAGTGGGCTTTTCTTCACAGTAATATGGGGAAATGATTTTTCCTAGTTTGGTTAACTTGGATTGAACAATATAAAATAATGTCAGAGATTTATGTTGAGTAGAAATCTTATATCTATATAACTTTTTAAATTTTCATATCCATATGAAAGTCAGAATCAGATTAGTTCTACGCTTTATCTTCTGACATTGATATATACTGATACGGATCTAATTATAATTTCCGATCTCTATTTTGATATTAATGAAAATAATGATGATTGGCTTTACATATTATCAATATAACCATTCTTTTATATACCCACATTGCTTTATTCATACAGATATCAGGCCCAGAAAATTTCTAAAATGTCTTGCCCAGAAAAATATTATTACATTTAAATTATAAACTAAATACATATTTTATTAATTAACTTCTGACAAAATACTAAATGTGAATATTCAACCAACAATCTCCAAGTCTGGGGAGACAGAAAATAGGAATTAAACTCATGTGTTTATTTTTTACATCTGCCAAATAAAATTAAGATTTGTCCTGTGGTTTACTGAGGGGAATGACAACAAAATAATAAAAATTCGTTTTCATTATTTTTTGTATCTTTAGAGGCCTAGCTTAAAATAGCCTAATGTTAACAGCAGAAAAATTCCTGCTGATTTCTCTTCCTCATTTTTCAAAAAACCAAGATGCCAGAGAAACCCGTGTTTCTGGCTTAAGCCTTTATGTGATTCTCCCGAGTTCTCTAGTTTCTAAGTCATCAAACTCTCACTAATCCCTAAAAAGCATGGCTTCATTTTTGTGTAATACTGGACCTCCAGAGAATTCCTAATAAATTGTCTTCAGATGAAAGATAGATTAATTAATCATTTTGCAAGGAAAATCTCTACACAGGGAGTACCCTGGATCCTAAGTCTGATATATCACAGGACCAAACCTATATAAAAAATTTCAGCATGTCTCCTTTTTTTTTCCCACCTAAAGAGATAAATCAAGGGAACAGCTACTGTTAATCTAATGGGAATACAGTGAGAAGGTGGAAAATAGAAACTCTCTGTGCAAAGAAGTTGCCTTTATTTGCTGCATTTCTCCTTCTAATTTCCTCAATTGCATTTTCTCAACAAAACTACAAAGCTACATAACTATGAAAAAAAGAATGGGAACTCAGAAAAAGTTTGCATTCCACATGTCATTATTGTCCTTTTCATAAAATTGCTTTACCAAAACCATATCAGGTGAAATTACTTTCAGTTTGGTAAAGGGGAGTGGTAAGGCGTCTACAGAAGTCTATTTTAATGCCACTGGAAAAAGGACAAGGCAAGCGCGCAAACAAGTGACCACATACCAACTGCTGTCATGTGATCCCAGCGCTCAGTGAGGCACATGTTGAAGATGAGGTGATCAGATGTTTGCCCTTGGCCAATAAGTGAAATCTGCCTCTCCAAATTCTGGCAAACAGACGAAGTCCAGCCAACAAGAAACCAAAATACTACCAGGAGCATTACTGCCAGCATCCTCATGACCCGTCCACCAGTCATATACGGAATCCGTTGGGCTGTTCGTGAAAGAAACACTTTCAAAACCCTGGAAAAGCAAAACATCAAAATGTGAAGGTAAGCTTAATAGTCAGAAAGTAAAACTCCACAATATTTTATTTTTCTAGGTGAAATTTAAACCCACCCACACCCTACTTATGCAGTTTTAACATGAAAAAACCTCAAAAACAGTATTGCTTATATTTTCACTTAATTTCATTCTAGTTTTTAATCTTTCAATAGCAAAACAGATATCCTACATTAGATGCCAGTGAGTCAACAGATTTGCAAAGGATGGAATTCTTTTGAGTATGTATTAATATTTCAAGGAAAATACTCAAGATCTTAAAAAAAAAAGATCCATAGGCAAACATTGCTCACACAGGGTTTCTAAGGGCTCAAAAATAGTCCTGGAAGTAAGTAGTTGGGTTTTACAATATTATACTAAGTCAAAAATTTCCTTAAATCAGTTTTTTTTAACAGCAGAATGTTACAAAAGTTATTTTCTGAAAATTATTCTAAATGACCTCTCTCTATAATTATTTCATTACATTACTAAAAATAATAATGAAGTGAATATGAAAACAATGAGAGAGGTATTTAAATAGGGTAACTGAATTAAGATCACCATATTAAAGAAGAGGATTGGGATGACATATAAGAAATGGATCTGGAGAAACTTAACACAAGACCATGGGGGAGCGGGAGGGGGAAATTTAAAAACAGAGAGGGAGGGAGGCAAACTGTAAGAGACTCTTAAATACAGAGAACAAACTGAGGGTTGATGGGGGTTGGGGGAGAGGGGAAAGTGGGTGATGGGTACTGAGGAGCGCACTTGTTGGGATGAGCACTGGGTGTTGAGTGGAAACCAATTTGACAATAAATTTCATATTTAAAAAAAAAACTAAAATACATAAATAAATAAATAAATAAATAAATAAATAAATAATATTTTTTCTATGTATGCAATTCAAATGAATAGCTAGAGTTGAGAACTACTGGGTTAAGTTACATCTAAGAACTATTCCATTTCTAGTTATTGTGTGAAGGCAAAATCCAAAGTTACTGTACAGGTCCTTCCGTTTACCCATTTCTTTAACTTTATCCCCAGAATATTCTTAGCTGATTTTCACTCCCCACTCTCATTCTGAAATTTTATGTCACAAAATTGTGACTTAAAATAAACTATCATGAATGGTTCATGATACTATGGGGGTATCCACAATCAATTTCCAAAAGGCAAAAATAAATTTATTTTCCCAAATTTCTATTCTGTCCTTCATCTCATTCTTTTTTTTTTTTTAAATTTTTTTTTTCAACGTTTATTTATTTTTGGGACAGAGAGAGACAGAGCATGAACGGGGGAGGAGCAGAGAGAGAGGGAGACACAGAATCAGAAACAGGCTCCAGGCTCTGAGCCATCAGCCCAGAGCCCGATGCGGGGCTCGAACTCACGGACCGCGAGATCGTGACCTGGCTGAAGTCGGACGCTTAACCGACTGCGCCACCCAGGCGCCCCCCTTCATCTCATTCTTTATAAAATTTTTATGAAGTATTCCTATGAATTCTTCACAAAAATCATTTTAAGTCCAGAAATGAAACATACACACTTAAAATAGCCTAGATGTCTTATACTATTTTTTCTGTCTCTATAGACCTTCAGTAGCTCTTCCAGAATCAACACAAGACACCCAGCAAAGAAATTTATTTTTTAGCAGACTTTTATTTATCCTTCTTTCCCCTATATCTTTAACTCCATTGTCCTTCAATGTCCTTCAACTAACACACAGCATGAAGTTATTTAATACTGAATAAAATACCCTCAACTTTGCTGTGGAACAATGTAGCAAGATATGTATAAAAAAGAGTACAGCAGAAGACCTCTTTAACTATTCTCCACTCAACTAGTTTATCAGATTAAGGGTTATTCTCCATTCTCTATGTAAAACATACTGAGTACTGCCCATGTCATGCTAAATGCTAGCAGCGACACTTAACTTGCTACCTCTGTCTGGTATGCCTCAAACACTTCGACTCCAATCAGTTGAATTGCTACTTGTTAAGAATCAGTTGTATGTGTCCCCAAATTGTGCCCATTGTTATCAATTTATATAATTTAACCAAATTATAAATAAAATAATTACACATGACTGAAACAAAAGGAGACTTATTTGTATAAAATCTGTCTTGAAAGCTTTGGAAAGACTCCATGTAGGTGAATCATTAAATAAGCTGTTAACCTAGGGGAAAGTGAGGAAACTTTAATATATTGGGGTGGTCAAAAAACATAAAAATCTAGAAAGATTCTATGCTCAGAATGCTTTAAAAAATCTTTAGATTTGTGGTCTTATTTATTTATTATTATTATTTTTTAAATTTATTTTTGACAGAGTCAGAGTGCGAGCATGAGCTGGGGAGGTGCAGAGAGAGAGAGGGAGACAGAATCCGAAGTAGGCTCCAGGCTGTCAGCACAGAACCTGAAGCGGGGCTCGAACTCACAAACTATGAGATCATGACCTGGGCCAAAGTTGGATGCTTAACCGACTGAGCCACCCAGGCACCCCCAAGTTGTGCTCTTATTTAAAGAACCAATATTGTGAACAGTAGATAATGCACTACAGTAATTTATGTTAGAAAGAGAACAATGCACTCCAAACGTCAGACCCATAGTCAAACAAGGGGCCTATTTAAAAAACATTGGTAAATGATTATTTGTGTGTTTTAAATTGTAGTCTCTTATACACTTTAATGCCTTTCACTTTTAAACAAGTTTATCAATTTATTGACCAGTGACTAATCCCCATAAGAAAGGCTTCTACTGTAATTAGCAGATCAAAAAAATTCAGAGAACTCTTAGAAATAAGAGAATTTTTTTTAAATTAATGTCTTTTGCCAGTTCCAGTCTTATTTTCTGTAGAAGAAACTTGCACCCACTAGGTACACATAATTGTTTCTGGTCATACCTGGATGAATTCTAAGTTTTGAATGACTAGGAGCTTAAAAGAGGAAATCTGGCTCATTTTTATGGTCTTCTATATTTTGGCTAGGCAGAAAAAAAAAGAGAATTGTTCTAATTTTAGACACAATTTGAATTGAAATAGAATTATAATAAACAAATATTTATACAGTGACAATCATATACTGGGTATCATGCTAAGCAACATGGGAAGAATAAGATACAGTTCTAGAAGCTTACAATCTAACTAGAATCAAGTGTAGAAATAACTACCATATAAAACAGCATATATTCTACATTGTATGTACCTAGTAAGTCTAATAACCTAATAGAATAGGTTATATTTGGCCTGGACTTCAATGGATACCAACAGAAATGGAGGAAAGTGGAGAAGATATAAGGAGATATTCTAGCTTGAGAATAACATAACATAACAAAGTACAAAGCAGGAAATGTAAGTTGCATTTTGCAGAGGAAATCTATATGATCCCACTTTGATAATCTTTTAATCAATAAATCTGAATTCTAAATTATTAGAAATTTTCATGTTTTCCAGGTGATGTCTTGGGTATTTATTGTATAGTCTGAGAATTCAAGATTATCATAGATCCCATAATCTCATTTCCAGAGAGGAAAAACCAAAGCCAAAGGCTTCATGGGTCTCCTGTTATTAGTTTTATTGGCTTTTGAATACTAGGAAACACACTAACACAATTGTGCACTTCAGTCTGAGCATTTCAGGATATTGGGTTTTGTAAAATGGAAGAAGATGAATTTTTCTAGCATTGTTTTCAAATAAAATGAGAAAATTCTGCCATATCTTTAAAAAACAAGCTCTTGTTAGTTTATATGGGTTCACTCCCTAGATAGCAACTTCTAAAAATGAAATCCTTAGATATGCATTCATATGAAATACAGCTGTAGGAAAAAATACAATAATTAAATTTCTTAGATTACTTTACTATTTTTTTTCATAGATAAATCTTTAGGATACCATCTGTTCAGAAGATTTCACTGTTTCTGAAGGAAAGCAGTAACATATACAAGAAGATTGCAAGAAATTGACAGAGTTTAAAAAGGCATATTTAAAGAATATATTCAGTTCTCATTATTAATGGTAGATAAATTCATGGAAATGATGTTGTAACAATGAAAAGGGCAACCCAGGAATTGGCTGTCACTGGAGTATCTGTCTCTACTTTTTCACTTCCCACACATTTCTGGTTTGAGCTCATAAAACTCCACTGTCAGGACTTGTACTTCTCCAAGTATCTAATTGATATTTGTACTCTTTTTTTTTTTTTTTTTTTTTTTTTTTTTTTTTTTTACTTGATATCTCTCCAGCTTTCAGCATGGCTAAAGCACTTGGCTTCCATTATGTCACATCCCCTTGATTTTCTTCCTATTCCTCTGTCAGCATCTTTTTAGTTTCTGATACAGATTCTGCTTCTCCAGTCTTCCCCTTAAGTGGTAGTGTTTCCCAAGGACCTCCTAAATGTAGCCATCTAGATCTATTTCTTACTTTAAATATCGTACCCAGGGAATTCCATTGACACCCCTGTTTCAGTTATCTACATGCTGGTGAGACCCAAATCCATATCTTCGGTTTAGATCTCTCTCCTGAGCTCAAGATCTTTCTACTCAGTGACCTACTAGACATCAACAGGTCCCCAAATGAAATTATCCCTCTTTCCACTCCTTCTTCCTCTAGCCTACTTTTCTCCTGTGTTACTTATCTCAATGACTAGTATCACTTAATTGATCGAAGCAGAAACCTAGGAATAAACTTTAATTTTTCTCTCTCACTTACATTCCAGACATGAAATGAGTGATCAAGAATTTAATTTCTACCTCTTCAATATCTTTCAAATCTTTCTCTTCTTCTCCATCTTCACTGCTATACTGGCTCCTGGTCATCAACCTGCTCCTATAGTAGCTTCCTAACTAGTCTACTTACTGGTCTTGCCTACCTTCAATCCACACTCCACACTCCACACTGAAGCCACAATGGTCACTTCTGATCATGTTACTCCCTGTTTATAGTGCTTCAGTGGCTTCCCATCCAAATCCTAGCTCCTTAATATGGTAAAAGA